TTTTTCTAATATTTCCTTATATCAAGACTTGTTTTTTTATTCAGTGTTTACAGTTTTGTACTTAAATCTGTGTTGATGAGGAGACCGAGAGTCTGAGAAATTTCAATTCCTCAATAAGTCTGTGTATGTCTTGCAGAAATTGACAATAAAGCTGACTTTGAATTTGATGCATGTTCAAGTGTTAATGTTTCTGGTGAGTTTGTGTTTTAATGTGTTAATAAAAACAGGTCTTGTCTGCACCTAAATCTAAATCTAGTCCCTGAGCATCAACACGACTAAAAGTCTGACGGGCAAACAAGTAATTCCGGTTCCAAACATATAAGCACTACAGCATAGCTTTAATTTACACTGTACATACAAAACAGAAGGTCTTCAGGAGTTACAAGTATTAAAATAGGTTTGCATTTCTATATATCAATATTGTTTAGTGTCACCCTTTGAGGACAGAAATTAAATGAGATCAGATGTCACTTACAGTAAAATGAACTGATACCTACATCATGAACATAACATGTACACCAAGAAACAAAGATCTCAGAGCCAACAACTCGTTTGATTCCAGTACAACACAAGAACATTTCTGTCAGTTGACCTGTGGGTCGCTAGAGCAATGGTGGAAAACTTGCAGAAGCTACTTTTAAATTCAGTGGTTTGAAGTATTTGGCCTCAAACAGCAAACCAGAAACCAAAAGGCAAACTTTACATTTCACTGAAACCCAAAGTTACGTTTTGCAGAACTGAAGAAAAATCACTTAATAATCTGATAATCTTTGAATGATCGATCCATCTGTCAAAAACAAATCCAAGATCAGTGATGAGGATGTTAGAGGGGTCTAAGAAAATCCATTACAAACAAATGTCTTCCCATTTTTAGGTTATTAATAAAAACAAAATCAGGTTTTTGAGAGGGAAGGCTTCATTAGGTACATCGTCATATTTCACCAGGTCACCGTGTGTTAGTGAATGAAAAAGATCCTCAAGTGATTATTTTAAAACACCAGAGTGAAATCAAGTTTACAGATAAAGTGTTGGATGTTAAATGAACAGTGCAACACAGGGGCATGGAACCCACGTACAGCTGTTTTAACTGTGACGACCCTGCAAGTTGAATTTCCCCCCCCACTGTTAAAACAAAGCATGTTTGTATTCAATCAACCAACCAGGAGGTTTTTTTTTACCCCCATTAACAATCTTGGTGTTGGGAAAAATCAATTATATAGATCATAGTTAGACTGAATGGCAGTTAACACACAGATATGCTTTCTCCATGATGAGAGGTGTGAGTTCTGTGGTGATCTCTTCAGTAGAAAGGTGAATGTCATCGTTACTGTTATCAGCAACACACGTGCTTCTACCACTGCGGTGTGCAAAAAATATCTGCTCGGGACGATTTAGAGAATGATTTGATCATTTAGGGAACAATCATGATGCAAACAGACATGCTGGTGCTTAAAGTTCAAATAATAAACGACAACAAACAGGACAAGTCCTCAATTCATTTCATCCATCACCGGGTGCTTCACGAGACCAATTCAGATCAGACTAAACCTCGTCCTGCATGATGGACCTGTGACGGTCCTGTTTTATCTGCGTGTGAAGAATCATTGTCCGAGTTTAGCTGTTAAAATCAAATTTATTTAACAAAAGCCAAAAGAAACTGAAGCTGAAAATGATTGAAAAGCTCAACAATGATACAAAGGGTCTGGTTTTTGACTGGTACCATATGAATGGTCACAAACGTTTGACAGAGCAAACACAATGTTGACGTCTGCGGTTGTGAAAAGTCTAATGTTGATACTTGTGAATAGCTGCACACGGGCAGCTGATGAAATGACGTCAACACGCTGCAGCAGCACTTCGTCAAGATTTGGTTGTTTTTTTTTTTTTTAAGCCAGAAAAAACATCACATGTATTTACATCGACATTCCTTCATCGACTGTTACGCAGCCTTTCAAGTTTGCACTGAACAGGAGAAATGCATGAAAATCACAGAATGAAATATAAACATCTAGATCTCTGCAGTTACATTTATTAGAACTCAAACTCTAATGATTCTACTCATTTCCTGATGTCCTCTGCTCCGCGCCAATATAGATTTTCTTTTAAACCTGACCAGTTAAAGCTGTTTGCGTTGAGTAAATGTTCAAGGAGGATACTCAGACGACTGTAGACCTTTATTTTTTCCTAATGAACATTCAGACATAGATGTTTTTGAATCAGCATCGTTAATATGTTATCAAAATTAAAAGGTAGTAGAATTATATGTATCCTGTTAAAACTGTGCTGCTTAGAAATTCTCACTCATGATGATTAGCCTCAATCAAAATATGGAAATGATTGTACTGTTTAATTATGAAATGGATTAAAGGAACATCTCACATGATGAATCAGGTGTTAATAAAAATACCTTTTCTACTTTGATTCATGAACATAAACTTTGTGAATGTAGGGAGAAGAATCACTTCCTTTTTTTTTTTTGACCAACTGTTCATCTTTACGTGGAATTTGAAGACACTCGTCTTATTTCATGGAACCAGAGCGCAGAACATTTTGAGAGACTTCACTGTCAATGTGGGCGTGGCCCGTCTGCCCCCCCCCCCGCAGTTTCCTTTGCGTTGCGCTTGTGATTGTACAAACTCGTGGAATCATTCCACAACATTTCTGTCCTGTGAAAATAAATATACAATTTACATTAAAGTTTATGGGCATCTATAAATGACCTAAAGGGTCCCTTATGCACTTGGAAGAAAACTTTAATCCTCTCATAGAAATTAAAAAGCCCCCCCCCCCCAGATTCCCAGAGGTGTACTTCACATTACTTTACCTGAGCGACTACACCAAACATTTGATTTCTGAACAGACATCATAAAAAAAAAACGATTTGTTGCCATACCACGTTGCACGACACCGTCCAGATGACCTTCTGTTTCCCTCTAACATCAATAACGTGAATATCAGATATGAATCTGCCGGAGCTCAACTCTGTGTCCGTTTCCACCGACTGCTCAACTGCAGATCCCGGTTGTGAGACCAAAGATTCAGCTGTAACACGGAAACCAGCTCAAACCTGTTCTAAACCTTCTGACCGCTGTTAGAGGACGAGTACAGCACTGCACTACAGGTCGAACACAACTTTCGACAAATATTAAATCAGAGATAAATGGCTTCAGAGCCTGATGCTGGTATTTAATATTGCCACAATCATGTCAGCATCTACACAAGAGGAAGAACAACAAAAGGCTCAAAAGAAAACTAAGTGTTTCTTCTCATGAACACAAAACTGTTCAGAAGTCTGTCTGAGAGGCAGCGATGCCTTCGACCGGCCCGTGCGGTAAAAGGTCCGTGTCCCTGCTGGACGCTGCGTCTGTCTCGGACTTTAAAAGCCACAGGAGTGTGACACCAGGTTCGCGGTCACTCGTTGACGTCCCAGATTTCAGAGAGCAGCGGGGGAAGCTTCTTGTCCTGGAGGCGAAGGGCAAAGACCTGCTCCGAGTGGACGCTGCTTAGCGTACGAAGGCTCACCAGCTTCATCAGCATGCGGGGGAACATCAAGTGATCCTGAGGAAACCAGCGCAAAAACAGGCAAAATCAATCAAAAGGCTTGAAAAAGGAAAAGTGACCTGGTTGATCTCACACAGGATCTGGTGGTAAGCAGCTGCAGTAAAGTGAAAACAGTTCCTCTACACAACGAACACACAACTGAGCTGTCTGAACACAGAGACGTAACCTCAGCTCTGACCCAATGTGCCTGTTGTGATGACAGACACCAGGCCACGCTGACATCCTGCCGGTCACGACAGAAGAGCTTATGTAAACCACTCAGCACTTACATGTGGTCTCTTTATCATGATGTAAGAGCGCAGTGCGTCCACGTAGGGCTGCTGCAGCCGCTCCACCAAATCATGATCCTGCACATTTGGTCGATCTAAACAAAGTTCAACGAACAAAACACAAAGATTAACAAAGTGGATTATCAGATTGGATTTAATTATATGTGATAATAACATGCATCACTGCGGATTACGTGTTTTCTGAATTCTGACCTGCAGAGAAGATGTTGATAGCAATGAGCAGAGCGTATTCGGCCTCGTCCAAGTGCAGGTCATTCATTCCTTTTGAAAACTCAAAGATGGGGTTGATGAACTCAAACTGAAGCCCTGAGGAGGAGAAGGTTGAGAGAGACACAGGGAAACAAGAGAGATTATTTTAAAAGAAGAGAGAGTGGTGCGGTCGTTCACTGTGTCTTTAGCAGAGTGAACGTACTTATTTGAAACCTAACCGTGGATTTGATTTGATCGTTACAGCCCTGAGAGATACAAATGATTTATATACACACTCACCAGTACCATCAGAACAAGAGTGAGCGCCTCTAAATTATAGGTGTATATTTAAAACGGCTGCTCAAACTTCATTAGTAGCATTTAAAAACAAAAAGAGTTCAGTTTGAGTGATACAAGTGATGAATATTCAAATCGTCCACGAACTCAAATGAGTAAAATTCACCTGCTTTAGCGAAATCCTCCTTATTATAACTGAAATCCTTCAGAAACGTGATGCTGTCAATAGCAGGGTTGTACCGCCGCGATGTCTCCAGCAGCATGATCTGAGGAGGATGAAGAACCGTTCTGTTATTTGTTATATTTAGTTTTACAGCTACGTCCATTCTAACGTTACTCAAAAGAACGACTCCAGTCTCTTCCACACAGTGAAGCCTAATAAATTACTAATTAAACACTGGCATGGAATCGGGCCAATGCCTCAAAGCCCAGGTGTCAGTGTCGGGATGGAGAAATCAATTGGTGCAAGCTTAAGTTAATCACGACGAACCTCAATGGTGGACGTCTTCAGCAGAGCGATCTGATCCTCCCTCGTGAGCTCCAGGAAACCAGGAAGCTGCTTCGCAAAATCCACAATCTCCTGGACTGACATGATGGCGAGCTCGGTGAAGTGGGCGAACCGCTGCTGTCGCACCTCTCGGTTCTGCAAGTCCTGACTCTGTGGCCACGGCTGTTTGATGCGCACATGCACACGCACACGCACACGCACACACACACACACACACACACACACACACAGAAACGTTAACAAGCACATTCATGGATGGGTTCAAATGGAGTAAACATTCCTCTGATATGTTTTGAAAGCAGCAGCCACAGAATATTCAAATCATCGAGTGCTTTAACGACTGAAGCCTGAGCACATGAACACACGTGTCGTCTATATAGCAGCTATGGCTTCTTCTTCTTCTTCTTCTTCTGCTGCTGCTGCCAGGTTAAATTAAATACCTGCGCAAATGCAGCGTCTGTTCCTGGAGACGTTCACTTACTGTGACTTTTGGTCGTTCGAGGAAAGATCTCTTGTTGCATTGCTTCTGCATGGTCACCAGCTTCTCGATCATCTCCAGCTGCTGGGGATCCAGCGAGGCCGCTTCCTGCGGAGGTGTGGGCGTGACCACGGTGGACGTGCGGGCCGTCTCGTCGTCGTGCTGCTTCTTCATCTTCTTGAGTCTGATTTGCTCCTCGGAGAGGACACCTGAAGGTCAGAGAGGATGCACGTTCTGGACCGAAGCTCAATCGCAGTGGAATTTTTTTATTCTTTGACACATTCGGTGAACAGACAACTCACACTGCTCCAACATGCCCGCCTCCCGACACTTGCGCAGGCGACACTGCTGGCACTTGCGGCGCATGTACATGTCCATTTCACAGCGCCCATTGTTCTTGCAGGAGTACTGGGCACTTTTGATGACGCTGCGTCGGAAGAAGCCCTTGCAGCCTTCACAGCTCAACACATTGTAATGGAACCCCGAGGCCTTGTCACCGCAGACACTGCACACCTCATTGCCCAACATCTTCGGAGCAGGACCCTTCTTTCTCTTCACCGGCTGACCATCTGAGGAGAGAGATCATATCAGATCATTACAGGTAAAGACATTATTTTAGGCGGTAATGTGATTAAACAGTAGTTTTGTTTTTTTTTACTAATACTTGTATTGTTGAGACAGAAGTACAACACATGGAGACATTACAAACTATACAGACCACCAAAATATTTCTCTTAAAAATAAAAAGAACAATTTTAAGGTGCAACGGTCTTTTCTGGGGTAAAGAAAACTACAATTCATACAATTTAGATGAAACGAACTCGTGAAAACATCATGAGGATTATTATTTACATTCAATTTCTGCCATTAGTTCCCTTTCACCTGAATCTTACACACTGGAGCTTTAAGTGTCAGTATTAAACAGAAATTAACAGATTTAATGAAACTTGGAGTCAAAGAAGAAAACCTTGTTCTGCAGCTAAGAGGGAAATTAAATAGAAACGTCCATAATGAAACGATCCAGTCTGAGCTCAAGCGTCATTAATACAAGTTTAAGATGTTTGTGACTAAACATGATGTGTACTGTGTATTTTAGTTTAAATATGCAGTATTCATTCATTTTCTTAAAGAAAACTATTGAAAGACTTCAACAACAGAAGGATTCAAGTGTAACATCAGCTCAAGTTGTACACTGAAGCCATTTCTCCACTCTCACCGATGCTGCTGCCGGACGTGTCCCCTGCAGCTGGATCCAGCTTGATGTCGCTCGTCTCGACCGGCAGGGGGCTGCTCATCTCGGTCAGAGAAGGGCCGTTGCGAGGGGGGGCATGGAAGTCATCAGGCTGGGAGAGGTCAGCGAGCGACAGCAGGCCGCCGGGCTTCACTGTGGTGCCTCTGCTGCTCTCCTCAACCATGCAGTCCAGCTGCAGCTCAGAGGCCCCTTCAAACACCTTAGTCTCATCTGACGGAGGAGACACTAACACATTTAAAAACCATCATCAAACACCTCGTTACGTCGCTCTGTTACGTTACCAACACAAGTTTCCACTCGCCCTTATCAGTTTTGGCCCCTGTCCAAAATAAACCTCTAGCGTTCACTAGCCAAGAGGTGGAACGCAACAGAAACACAAAGCTCGTGGAATAAATACTATTTGTGTGAAGGTTAGTATTTGAATTTCTGCCATTCTTTTGTTCGAGACTGTAGGAAGCAAAGCCGTCATGGATTTCAGGAGAAGTTCATCCACCACCAGAGGCAGGTGAAGGCCGGTGTATACATTACTGTGCAATGATTTCTAATTTAAAACATAAATGCACATTTTAATTCTGTCAAATTAAAGCTTTGCTATTCGCTCATATCAGCAAACTGATAAATGAGCCAGGCTCCACTGACAACATGTAAAAGAAGCTTCTCTCACCATGACCAACATCTGGGATATCAGTCACAGACAGCGTGGACATCTTCTGCACAACAGCTTGTCATTACGAAATCAACGTGCACCTGTGAAGCACAAACAAGAAGCACTTTTGATTAATGCGGCAAATGTAGTGGTTTGAAGTAGAAAAACTAAATCTCCCGAAGCAACGTTTTACCTTTACTTCTGTTTCCAACGAGGAGATGAACAGAAACACCGGGTTGGCAAACGCCTGTTACGTATCTACTGGTGCACGACTTAGATTTATGTCAAGATGCACGAAACACTTCTGTATTTAACTTAAATTTGAATTCCTTGGACAGAGCACATTCTGTCACCAACAGCTTCAAAGTAGACTGTGTATTAGTATATACAAAAGCAGTGTCATAAACAGGACAGGACTTCTCTCCAGATTTAAAACAGAGACGAGGTTAAATGAATAAAAAGCGGAGCAACCGCAGAACTAGGAAATATCTCAAATATGTCTTGTAGTCGACTGAGACCCGGCCTACAAATATGTGCGTACAAGAAAGTAGACAGGCTGTAAAAGCAGAAATGAAAGTCTGTCATGTGGTGTATATGGATGCATTTCAGGAAACTGACTCAGCAGACACTCATGCCTGGTTTTCAGATATTTTTAAACACCCTGCAAAAAAAGATTCAGAAATCTCTTGCACAACCACAATCAGGCTGAACGGACACCTGCCTCTACAGGTGGATCTTAAATCTAAACAAAATGAAAGAAATCTATCACGTCATCGTGCTTAACTTTAATTTCATCTGTACAGAAACCTGAGAAATGTTTGATTCCTCTGTGCTCGTCCAAACTGAACACATGAGAAACACAGTTTGGCCACAATAGACAGAAGAGACATAAAGTCAGCTTCAAATCTGGACGCTATGTTTCGAAACCTTGTTTACGGTCCAGTGAACAACAACACAGTCAAAACTCTTGTAACGTTTCAGGAGATAAAGCTTCACCTGCCAGATGTAAAACTGTTAATCCAACATATATATTGTTTCTCCGATTTGTGAATTTAGGCCACTTGCGCCATTTGTTTTTTTATGTTACTGAGTAAAGTCGACATAGTGACAGAGAGAGAAGCGACTTTGTGTGGTTTATACTACATGACCACAAGCAGTATCACTTTTTCATGACTACAACATTCGTTACCATCACATTGTGACCGACGAACAGAAGCTGATCACAGGTTTAAGTCAAAGGAGTCAAAGCAGTAGTAGTAGTAGTAGTAGTAGTAGTATTTACTCCACAACTGGATTTCTATGCATTTCAAAGAATGAAGGAAACAACAAACGTCTGTTTCAAATTCCATAAACTGTGGTCAGACTATGTTGACGACTAATTTAAATGAAAACTCATAATTAAACATTGAAGGAAAAAGCTAAAGTGGCAACGGCAGCAATTTTCCAA